CAAACCCCCCATTCCTACACGATCGTGCATCAAGAGCATCAAGTGGCCCGTTCGTTCGTTTCCCTGCAAAGGAACCAACGGTATACCTCGCCTGGTGCTCCTTCATAGTAGGTAGCCTCGACAACATGTGCTCCATTGAGGATCCTAAAAAAATAACCGCAAAAAGACGCTAAATAGCCTCAATGGTGGCTATAGAGATAACAGTCATCGTTGTGAGAGAAAAAAGAAAACGAGGTAGGCGCAAAAACAAACTCAAGGCGAAAGGTTCCTATCTACGCATCTATGGATTTGTCTACATTCGCGTTGAAGTGGTGGCACGTAGGATCCGGCTGTGTGCGGCGCACCTACAAAACAAGCAGTGCCATGAGTATGCTTGTGCTTGACTATGACAAAACTGGCTCTACACCCAGGGACGTGTTCCGCGCGAAGAAAGCCTTCGCAAGAAACACGAAAAAAACTGCTTGGCGTAAAACAGGAAGACTTTCGTTTTCATCCCTGTGCAACGCACGCAAGTCCCACAGGCCATGGGCAACACGAATACTTCATAATAGCGAGTGATCAAACGCAGCGGATTACAGCAGTAGGACCTGCAGTAAAGACGTCACTAGCCTGAAAGCACACACACTCAAGCACACGCCAAGAGCCACGGCGAGAAACAAAAATACCCCGCACATTATGCAATTTTTTCCCGGCAAATTCTGCAGGTTGTACGCAAAACCGGCACTCACACTACCGAACGTCATGCCGTTTGAGATGCAACGATGCGACCGCGATGACATCGACCACGTCCTCTTGCATCGCCCCCGGGAGGCAAGCCACCTAACTCCCGAAGGGGAACCTACCATACTTCGCGCGGTTTCCCGAGCAGCACACCAAAGCGATACCGAAATAGTCGGAGATACGGCACCGGGTGCGATCGATTTTAAATATTTGTTGCTCGGAGTTGTTTTTTTCGCACCCCCGTGCCATGTCTCCGACCCCGGTGCGGAAATGCGAGTAAGTAATTTCGTTTAATTTTTTCAAGGCGCCCCGGTGCGATCTCTCCGACCGGTGCGATCCCCGATGAAACACAGGGTGTGGTATGCACGCACCCCGGTGCCATCTCCTTGACCGGTACCATAGTAGATACCAGCGTTACCGACGGAGTTGTAGCACATCGCTAGTTGTTGCTAAATGGAAGCACACACCGGTAACTGCAACGTAGGCCGGTACGCAACAGTTTTCCATGCAGCGAGTGGTGTTGGTGTTTTGTTTGATGCGAGTTTGGCTATGTCGTGACAAGGACAACAAACGACGTCGTTTCCATCTGAGGTACCGGTACATACGGCGGTGGTATCTGTTGTCTCCCGGTTGCGTTTCGGTCTTCCTCTACGGATACCAGTACGTACGCAGCATAAAACAGTTTCGTGTTGTGTAAGGCGAGGGTGCGGCTCGTGCGTTGTGTGTTTGGTTGAGGGTACGGTTGGCAACTTCCACACCAACTAAAGAATAGAAACAACTGGCATCCCGCGTGAACCGCGACCATGCATACGTACGTATGTACAGGAGTGGCGCTCCGCTGACACCGTCCCCACACGCAACAGGTACTACCTACGCACATGTACCTCATTCCGGCAGCTGAAGAGGAGCTAAATCTTGGATTTGGGGGTCGGCGAGATCGGTGCGATCTCACCGACCCCGGCGCGTATATCGATTTAAGGCCGCACTGGTGATCGCAGTACTTCCTCTTCAAAAAAACAGGAAACGCCTGGAAACGCCTGCATATCTCGGTTTTCCAAAGTCTAACTTCAGTACGAAACTTCCATTGCAAATTAACCGTCCGCCGACCCCCCCTCGTGTACGATGTTAGTAGCTTAGGTTGTAGCCCTTGCGATACACTACAGACTAGCGGTCCGCGATTTTCCAAACGATCCTTGTATCATCGAGTTCGGTGAGCTACAAGCTAGATTTTTGAAGCTGCTGGGCGGTCCAATTTTGAAACGGTTCAAGCATACGGTGAACACGAATCACCGTCTATGTGAGTGTATGGGGCCGCGAACTTCAGCGCAGCTCTTCCCTGACATATCCAGCTGGTCGCCATTGTCGATTTGATTGCCTGGGGTCATGTATATGCATGTCTAGCCTTTAAGCAAAGGTGCTTGAAGGGTTTCAAAATCGGATCGCACAGCAGCTTCAAAAATCTAGCTTGTAGCTCACCGAACTCGATGATACAAGGGTCGTTTGGAAAACCGCGGACCGCTACGTAGTCTGTAGTGTGTATCGCAAGGGCTACAACCTCAGCTACTAACATTGTACACGAGGGGGGGTCGGCGGACGTTCAATTTGCGATGGAAGTTTCGTACTGAAGTTAGACTTCGGAAAACCGAGATATGCAGGCGTTTCCTGGATTTTTCAGAGGAGGTACTGCTATCCCCAGTGCGCCCTTCAAAATCATGCTGTTCTTGTACATACGAGTACCAGGTACTTATTAGCGCACCCCGGTGCCATCATTCCGACTACTATATACGGTATCTCGATATCTCGGGATCTTTTCCAAAAATCTGGAGCACTCGAACTGCGAACAGTTTGCCACCTGCAGACCGTTGGGTGGGGGGAACCGGCTAACCCAATTGCAGTCTTGATCCAACATTTACTTTTATTAGACTATCAGGTGTAGAAAAACCCTGCGGAGGCAACTGGTTGGGGGGGGGGCAGGGCGCGTAGCGGGGGGCACCTCAGCCCAAACTATTAACTTGTTTCAAGGGAGGTCCTCCCAAGACATCCACAAAGGCAATGGGAACGACGACAGCAACAGCTACTCCGGAGTACGATGGAGTATACCACAACAACAGAACGACGCACGACGAGCTTAGAGACGTATCGTACCACTTGTACGTCCCTTCGTGCAGGGGAAGAACTCGACGATGATGAGAATGAATGAATGCCAACAGCTCAAAAGTAATACCTAAAAAGTGCGAGTACAAAAGACACGGCAGCTGAATCAATCTACTTGTAACGAGATGGCCGGTGCACTTGAAATATTATACTGTCGTTCACCCAGTAGAGAACTACGGGGATGTACTGCTGTAAAATGTAAGTTACCTATACAGATGTTTTTTTACTTAGCACCAACTGGCATCACTGGTATAGATCATCAGTGTATAGACTCGAAATAAGTCCAGTACCCAGCCGGTTTTCCTCCACTCACTGAAAAAGACTCCACCACATCCCGTTCGACTGTGCGTATATCTCGAGTGGGAGTCTTTCTGTGTGCGTAATTATTATTCCTTGATTATGTTCCAACACCACACACCACTGCTGTGTCAATGCTGTAAGCTGGTTGGCCTGCAATATATGAAGCTCTGTCGCCGATCAAATGGGCAAGACAACCTCCAACGCCACTTGTGTCTGTGAAGATCCGCGGCTCCCCCCGCCGCCATATCCAACTTGCCATGTCTGCCAGTTGCAGCACACAGCACACGCTGCTGCTGCTGCTGCTGCTGCTGCTGTGGGGTGTGCAGTTGCAACGCACAATCTCGTATAAATTCGCGACATCATCGCAGAGTTGGTTTAAAGAGTTCAAGACTGCTTTTGTTTCGGGTCAACCTTGGTCCAACCAGTGAAGGTGTTTGGGAAAAAAGAGGGAACCTATGTATGCATAGATGGATGGTGATGTATTTGCCGGCCAATCACGGATAAGTGGCTCCTGTGCGTGTGTGCTATGTGATGTTGGTCACACACACACACACAACGAGCAGCCCTTGTTCTCCGTCATGAAAGAACAGATGTTCTGTATTGAAGAGAGCTACAACTACGAGAGGTTTGCTGCAGCAGTGAAGGTGATGATCCATGACAAGACACAAACACAACCCTTGCTTAGCTCATCGGGGGGAAACCGGCACGTCCGTGCGCCTGCTGTCGATTCGACATATAATATCGTCCACAGAAGCAGCAGTGTTTTTTGGTGCATTGGTTGAACGGCACACACATAAGAGGAGCCGAGAAGAAATAATATGATGACGTGTGACCCGGATGACCAAAAAGAGGGGAGCAGTGGTGAGCGTCGTGCGGGATGACTTCTTAAGACTGCGAAAAAAGCACCCCAGCTAGCAGCGGTGTTCGGGGTGGATCGACTTCTGATGACGAGCATGCGTGGGATACAAAACTGGCCGGCTTTCTGCCCCCGATTTGAGACGCCCCCCTTTTTGTCTCGACAAACGTCGCAGAAGAGAGAGAGAGAGAGAGAGTGGTCGCAAAGGGTAAAGCCTTCGGTTTAAACATGAACAAATTAATCCGGATAAAAACAAGACGACGTCAGTGTTGTTGTCAAAAATGTCAAAATCATCAATTGGCCCAGCACAGCAGCGCATCAGGTTTGCTTGGGGACCTTAGCAACCACGACAGAGGAGCTCGCTGGTGTGACCAAGGCCAGTCGTAGCTGCAGGGTGGGAGACAAGCTTTGTAGCAGCAAGGTCTCGTGAACCTGTTCCCAAGCCTGCGTGCGTGCCTGCAGCCCTCTCAAACTCACCCAAAAAGATGGTGATCATCCCCAGCACCGCCTCGTGCTTCTCTCGAAGAACCTCTGCCGGGATGCGGTACGGTCGCAGCGCAAACTCCAGCGTCCCCTGCCGGGGGGGAGGGGGAGGGGCAGGGGAAGCGACAGCGGCGTACGGCAACTCATCATCATCACCCAGCTATGTAGCACCTGCTCGCGACCCCCTCTCCTCTGTACAAGAGGAAGGCCGGAAAAAAAGCGGCTCACTTTTTTCGGCTTTAAGCACTACAACAACAACAACAACAACATCATCTGAATACTACCAATCACACCTTGTTCTTTATTGCCCGTGGCTCCACATCCTCCTTGATGATGCTTTTGGACGAATCCGCGTTTGCCGTCGCCATCGCCAACAGCGACAACAGCAACTTTGCTGGTGTCAGAAAAGGAGTGGTGGTAGGTGTGGTTGTGGGAGAGAAGAGTCGGAGAGCACGCCTAGCTTGTTGTTGTTACAAAGAGGGAAGATTGTAGGTGTTCGCGTTCGAGAGAGAGAGGCAGAGAGAGCCAGCAATGTATTTTTTTTGGCTCTTTGAGAACATTTTCGGATGACCGTGGCCCACGGCCCACGGGCCGCTCGTATCGAGTGGCTTACCCACAACACACCCGGCATGCAATACCGAACGACTTCAACACTTGAACAAGTCGGACCAAAGGCGCCGCACGCGAAGTTTAGCTGGCAGGGATTCTCCCCACACGGCGGTCCTGTCACCCACTATGCATCTAGACTATGTACCAAGATCTGAAGATACGCTGCTGCGGTAAAAGTCTATCTACCTGTTGTGTATCTATCTCCTGCTGCCCGTTGATGTTTCGGACATGTTTAGTCTCTCGTCGTAGTTACTTCAGCTGCTGTGATCACATGAAACTGCTTTCGCGCCCCCCTCCCCAACAGCCAGCAATGAACTGCAGCAACTCGGCTTCTCGGTCGACGATGTCAAGCAGCGACTGAGTCCGGACTTGCCGCTGCAAGCCACAAGCACAGCACAGGAAGAGAGGATGTATGTAGACAAAGGGGAGAAAAACACAGACAGGCAGTGAGCAACGGTCCTCTGCTGCTGTAGTTGGCCATGTATACTTGTAGTATGGGCCGGTGATGATCGATGCGTCCAAGACAAAGGTCTACTGAAGACTTTACGCGTCCACCATAAATATGCACACGACGATCCTATAAGTGTGAAAGAAACCTGTGACGTCCAGCATGCATACACTCAAATAGTGCAGGTAGGTTAACCGAGTGAGGATTTTTCACATGGATGCACGGGCGATACAACAAGTGCTTGCAGAGGGTACAGCAGTAGTAGTAGTAGTAGTGGTCCCGATATTGTAGTGGCATGTAGTGGCAAAAAACATGCCACTATTCAGGGCAATACCACTACATACAGCAGTATTCGATAAGTGGCGTTAAATCGGACAATTAAGATTTCATGCTTCGGACAGTAAAGTAGCAGTTGTTCCTTGGATCTTCACTCTCAGACTATGCGTTGTGTACTTCGGGTCCCTCTTTTGTTGTGTGCACCAGTATCCGCGTGAAAACAAACGCAGGCGTCTGCCCATCACGTGTGCGTTGACACTTAATCGTCTTATGACAACGAGGCCTTTGGCGATCGCACCCTACCATACTTTAGGTGCAGGCGGGCTGCACAAAGTACCACTATTTTTTTTGTCTTGTCTGGCCATCCATGATGGGGTTCAACACAAGCAAAACACACATCCATCCATCCATGTTGAAACATCCATGTACGTACGCGAAACCAACTGGAGCAACCAAGTTGAAAACGCCGAACACTCCCTACTCCGGCGCATCAATCCCAACCGTCACGATGCTTTTGCACCTGTAGGCGTCAACCGACCAATCAATACCACTACACTATGACTGGGCAACGCTCTGATGTCCAACTGCGTGACGGTCTAGCGGCGTGTGCTGCGAAGAATGCCATCTTTGCCTTACGGAGGAAATGCCCGGCCTCGCCAATGCCACACGACTCCGCGTACTCTTTTAGAGGACCAAAAATCCCACACAGCAGTTCCGCGAACGATGGCGGCGCCCTCATCCTTCCACCTCTCTCACTCTCAGAATCTTCGCTGTTGTCTAGCTCTACCTCGTTGTCACAAAATGTGTCCTCTTTGACGTATGTTGCCAACGTTCTAAAGAAAAAGCTCCCTTGCGTCTTTGGAAAGAGCTTGCTGTGAAAAACAGGGGGGCTCCGGCGTTTTGAATTGCCACTATTGGGGGGGTTGTTGTTGTTGTTGTTGCTGTTGTCTTCACGTCAAAAACCGTTCCGTTCTCTCTGCTCAGTACCTTCTTCTGTCCGGCGTACTATTTAGTCTAACAATTGACGGGCGGGGTCGATTCCCGTGGTCACAGGCTAACTTACCCCAAAAAAGGTATACGAAAATAAAATGGACCCGAAGGATCCGCAAGCCAATAAAAGTCAACGACAGATAGTCTAGGCCACTCCGCTCGCCTCTCTGCACGCTATGCGAGGTAAAAACTCTATAGATTGGAAAAAAATAGAAAAAAGTAAAAAGAAAAAGAAAAGAAAGACAAAGGAATAGAGCAGGTGGAGAGAAACAAAGGGAAAGAGAAAGACAC